ACTTCCCAGCCGCGCCCCGCGCGCCCCCAAAACTTCCCAGGCACGCCCCGCGCCTCGGGGGATCTCGCTCCTGGCCTCACGCATTCTGCTGCTGATTGCTTGTTTTGCAGAAGTTAATTCCTTTATTTAAAAACAAAAATTTTTTTTAAAAAAACTTTACAAGTCCTTTCCGTCCCCCTCTTTAAAAATAAAACTTTACGACTCTGTGGCTATGAACCGGCCGGCGTCTGGAATGATGTTTATTTCTAAATGCAGAAATGCCAAAGACAGGGTTTGTGTTTTTGAGGTCAAATTTTATACTCAGAGTAAGGAAACAGACGGTGCCTGCGGCTGCTGCCTCCTCTCGGATGCAAGCTGGGCTGTTTTCTCCCGGAGAGCTTCACGCGCTCCCAGCGCCTCACCTCCCAGCGACGCAGCTGGTGCCGGGAGGCGCGCGGGCCGCGGGGCAGTGGATGGAGCCCACTGGGCTTCAGAGAGAAGTGGGGCAGCTGACGGCACACAGCCTCCCTTGTCCGATCCAACCCATTCCGAAGGAGGGTCTGTCCCCGCCGCCCGAGAGCCCTTCCCTTTTGCTTTTGCTGAGCAGCTCGCTCCTCGAGGCTGTACATGGACTTAGTTTTTGCCCCGGGGCACCACGCCACCCTTGTCTTGGGAGAGCTGGGGAGTGCTCTGGGAAAAGAGGGAAAGCCGGGCTGCCCTCTGGAAACATTGCTGGGCAAGCGCTTCTGGTAAACAGAAGAAAGAAACCCGGATTTCCAAGGCTCCAGTAGTTGTGATTTCTTTTCTTACTCCACCTCGTGCCTAATTGTGTGTTCTTTTTCCAAAAGAGGGCCTGGCATATTCAGAATCCACCCTGGCTTTTGCTCAGAATTGCTTAGTGGCTACAGCGCACCCAGCGTATTCCAGGTGGTTCATTGGGGCCAAGTGTGCCTTTGGCGTGGAGCTCCTTTTCTAGTTTTTCTATCTTTTCCCTCTCCCTATCGCGATTTCAAGAGGAACTATGGAATTGGTCTCCACGCCTCTGGTCTCGTTCCCCTCAATCCCCGTTCTGAACACCGCAAGTGGAATGATGGAATGATCGTTCTAAAGAACACCTGGCCACTTTACTCCCGGGCTTAAATGCCCTTCCCTTGCTGCTCAGAGTTCTGGGGATAGAGTCTAAACTCCTACCCTAGCTTACCTCCCTGCCTTATCTCTTCCAAGGTGTTAAGCAGTGTTAACACCTCCTGACTCCCCTAGACTAAGAAAACTCTACCCTTTCTTCTAACAGCTGGTCCTTCCTGTCTATCCGTGAGGGTGTTACTTCCTGCAGAGAGCCTTTCCAGAACTCTCCATCCACCATACTCTCAGGATTAGGCTAGGGTTTCACCTGTGTGCTTCCCCAATCTCCTTGCCTAATTGTTAGTCCCCCCCGCCCCCACCCAACACATTTATGTGTCCTTATGATAGAAACTGTGTCTTGTTTACCAGTATCTCCCCTGGCACATTGGAAAAACATCCGCATACATTTTATTACACTGTTTTATTATACTGAAGAAATATTGTTTGTCAACAGAGGTCCAAACTCTGATATTTCTTCCTCCAGTGTGCATGGATTCCACCTCATGATCCAAGAGGGCTACTGGCTCTCTAGACATGGAGTCCACATCCCAGGCCAGCGTTAGGAGGAACACGGGAGACTAAAGAGCCCTTGTTTCTCCTGTTTCTGGAGCCTTCCCAGAAAGACCACACAATGCATCACTTTTAGCTCATTGGTAGGACTTAATTACTCTAGTAAGCTGGCTACAAGAGATTGGGAAATGTAGTTTTAGTCTCCACGGCATTGTACACAGCTGAAAGTCATGGTTCTGTAATTATGGATGAAAGGGTGAATGGATTTAGGAAAAACTAGCCATCTTTATCATACCTTCAAAGCAGACAAAAAGAACGCCAGATGGCTACAACGGTTCCCCTTTTTGACTACCTAGTATCAAATGTGTTTCTTATCATCTTTACAATTCTGAAAATAAGGATGATATACAATAAAGATGCTCCCACTTTATATCCCTTGTACAACTGGAAAACATTCCAAGCCAGGTGCTCACGCCTGTAATCCCAGCACTTTGGGAGGCCAAGGCAGGTGGATCACCTGAAGTCAAGAGTTCGAGACCAGCCCGGCCAACCAGGTGAAACCCTGTTTCTACTAAAAATACAAAAATTAGCCAGGTGTGGTGGCACATGCCTGTAATCCCAGCTACTCAGGAGGCTGAGGCACGAGAATCACTTGAACCCGGAAGGTGGAGGTTGCAGGGAACTGAGATTACACCACTGCACTCCAGCATGGATCAAAAGGCCACAGAGTGAGACTCCATCTCAAAAAAAGAAGAAGGAAGGAAGGAAAGAAAGAAAGAAAGAAAGGGAGAGAGAGAGAGAGAGAGAAAGAGGGAGGGAGGGAAACAGAAAAACACATTCCCTCTTTCCCTGCAAAAGGATCATCATTTTCCGTGTCCAGCTCCAAGCCCAGGAACTCTGGACGACAGCCATTCCTCTAATTCTATCACTATCTCCTCTCGACATTCTGTATCTTACGGAGTAAATTATTAAGTTATCCATCACTAGTTTGTCCTATATAAAAATGTAGAGGAAAAAAATGTAAAGGAAAGGAGAATTCATTATTAGGTTGGCGCCAAAGTCATTGTGGCTTTTTGCCATTCAAAGTAATAACAAAAACCACAATTACTTTTGCGTCAGTTTATGAAATACATATATATGATACAGCAAGAAAAAAATATAAGTTAGAGTTCTTGTTTTTCTGACTGGTCCTAAAGCTGTAATTGGTATTTATGACTGCTCTCCTTAATGGACATTACAAATCTCCCCTTCCCTTCATCAGGAATCTCAGCTAGTCAGGGGTAGCCCTGATTTCTGAGGAATCTAATCTTGTTAATGTTTGCCACTGGACATGCCAGTAGCAAGAGGCACTACCATGACTGAATTCTGTCTATTCACCTTTTTATGCTCATCATGTAACAGCAACTCTGCTTCCCCTTAATAGTTACTATCATCACAGCCAACACCATCATACTATTTTTTGCAACACATCCACTAGCATGAGGAGTCTGAAGTAGCCAGGGTCTCAACTTTTATTTCAATTAAACCACACTTGAATCTCCTGGGGTAGAAGAGTTCCTCCTTGGTTACTAAGACCTTCAAACTAGCGAAGCGTAGAGGCGAAGGTACAGGAAACACAAAAATTTGCAAGTAAGTCATTGCGTGTTAGCGAAAGGCACCATTCTCTTGGTTCCTGTAGCCATGTATCCTGACTGCCAGGACAAATAGCACTATATGTCAGCTTTGGGTTCCGAAGAAATTCTATGTATTATAGGATACCAATACTACCTTTCTGTGCGCTGTTGTCCTGCAGGCACAATAACTAAGTCTACAGTCGGTTATTCCACCACTGGATAAGGCCAGCTGCCACTTGAGGGACAGAAATTAGCCCACCAATTTCTTCTTTTAGTATAAAGTGAGGTCCTTGTTCAGAGCAATAGGATACCATGATGATGAGCGATGCATTCAGAAAGTCCCGAGACAATAATGCAGGCCCAGGGGGCAAAGAAAGTCAGTCCAAGTTCAGAAGCATTGTCTATTACATAGAGCACAAATTGCTGATGTCCTACGTGATTAAAGGTCTATGTAATCTGCTTTCAGGTGGCTGTCTAGGACTTCTCCTGAGTTTCGTACCTCTTGGAAGACTCGGAGTTGGCTGGCGATGCTCATGAAAAGCCAAGTCAGCCTTGGTGGGGAAGTCCAGATTGTTACAAAATGGATCAATCAGTCCCTGCCTGCATGGTCACTGTGTCCATTAGCCCATTGAATAAGCAGTGGGCTAACTGGGGACAGAAGACGTCTTCCATACCCAGGACAGGTCAACGTGTCCACCTGAATGCTGAGAGTCTCTAGTAGAGCTGGGTGTTTTGGGGAACCAGACTTGGTGGCTTGATGAATCAAAATAACATGCTGCTTGAGATGGGCGGCTCAGACTGCATGGTAATCTGACTTCTTGATAAGACATTCAGTCTCTTCCACAGCCCAGGAGCAAGCCAACTCTTTTTCTCAAAAGAAAAATAGTTATTTGACGAATAAGGCATGTATGTGTTCCAAAACCCTTATAATTGACACTGTGATTCTCCTAACAGGGCTTGTCACAGGTAACGTACACCTCTCCAATCTGCCATTGATATTTTAAGCACCGTTAGATCCACTGAGTCATGGATGACAAAACAGATGGCATTGCAGCCTGAACCAAATGGAGCCTCTCGTCTGCCCTGGGCCCCTTCTCAAAATTAGCTCCCTTTTGAGACACCCCATAAGTGGGTCAGGGAAGCACACTAATGTGACAAATGTTACTTCCGTAAATAGGACCTCAAAGCATTATGCTTCT